GCTGCTGCTGCTGCTGCTGCTTCCTCCTGCCAGTCCTACTCCTACTACTGGGCTTGATCTTAGGGTTCGCTGCAGCTGCCTCATACAGGGGCTAGAATAACTACCGAAACTACTTGGGGGGTTCCTTATTATAACTACAACTTAACACACCCCAAAACCTATTCTAATGATTAAGGCCCCTACATGACTGGGCTGGATCTTAGGGCTCACTGGGTTTAGGGTTTAGGGTTTAGGGTTTAAGGTTTCGGGTTTAGGGTTTAGGGTTTAGGGTTTAGGCAGGTGCCCATGGTTTGGGAGGTCCCACCGGGCATGTTCTCGCGGAAAGCCTCGGAGGCGGGTTCGGGGGGTGGGTTGGAGGGTCGGGGGACTTAGTAAGTAGATGTTAAGTAGAGTTATAAGTACCCTATAACGGATCCTAATTGGGGTTATGGTACTTTCAAGTCTATAAAGCAACTAATTACTAAGTCCCCCGACCCTCCAAGTGGGCGGTGGGGTTGGAGTGGGTGGAGTGGGTTGGTGTGGGTTGTGGTACGTGAAGGGCAAGTAGCTAAGTAGTTGCGAGAGTTGTTCAGATGATATGCATGCGGATGCGTGAAAGCAGTCAAGGAACACGCAAATTGTGTTCACATTTCTATGTAGATATACACATATGTGTGTGTGTGTGTGCACGTATGCACATTCCTTCCTGCACGTACACACGCATATGCACATGCTTGGACGCTTTTCTATTTATGTTTCCTTGGTTGGTTCATGCAGCTGATTCCTACGACAATACAAGTACATCAAACATGGCCCGCCAATTCAAAAAGATTGGAAAGAGTCGAGTACATACTACAGATTTCAAGCTACTCTCTAGGGCGGTGGCGCTGTACTATGTTCTGATTTCCTTACCTGTCCATTTGGTATGGGTCTGTGCATGTTCTTTGGTATCTATTTTGTCATGTTTCCGCTAGCTATTAGGGCTCTACAAGAGGATGAAGCAACACAAACAATAGCAAGACTGTTGGGAAATGTATATGTACGGTATTATAGACTGCATTACTGTATGCCTATAATGTTCTGCATTTCATTCGATATGTACACAGATAATTGAGTAACTCTTGTCCACATACATACAAGCAGTAGCGGGCAAGGTTCGTTTTAAACATACATATATCGTCTGCCATATCATATCATATCATATCATATCATATCATATCATATCATATCATATCATATCATATCATATCATATCATATCATATCATATCATATCATACTATATCATCTCATGCCCTATCATACCCTATCATACCCCACCATACCATATCACACCATGTTATATCATACCATGTCATATCATATCATGGCAGATCTGACCACACCATATCACATATATATATATATATATATATACATATACACAAATTTCCACAAATAGCGTGAACTGTCACATAAACTGATACGAGCAAGTTGTGTATTGGCAAGTTATTCAAGAGCTTACATCTCTTCACAGTGCATACTTGGAGGGTCGGGGGACTTGGTAACTAATTATTTTATCAACTTATAAGTATTATAACCCCAAATAGGATCCCTTTTAGGGTACTGATAACTCTACTTAATATCTACTTACTAAGTCCCCTGGCCCTCCAGGTACACGGTGGTGCATGACGTCGATACTACCAAGGCTCGGCTTCAAGAAAACACACGGTCTTTGTAAACACGCTCCCATGCAACCCCAGGGCCCAAGCCAATGTGGGCCCTCAATCCTTGCTATTCATGAACCAAAAACTGCACCCAAACATAAACTTTTGGGTGGGAGATCTCTACATTATCTAAACCCTAAACCCCTAAACCCTAAACCGGGCACTGCGCTTTGCCCAACCTGTTTCGTTGACTTTGATCTCGTGGAGATCCACGCGGTTGAAACTCTTGTCGCTGTCAGGCTCTAAACATTTAAGCTTAGGGGTACTTAGAAATAATTTTTAATCTTTGGCTACTAGAAACCCTAAGAAGCAGCGAAAATTATAGTTTTTGCTAGGGGTCTAAGTTCAGTATAGTAAAACTGTGGGAATTTCAGAATGCATCCTGTGATTTGCCAGGTCCTAGAAACAGTCGGTAGATAGCGCCAGAACGCAAATGCTCGAGGTGAAACGGCAAGTGCAGTGGACTTGCGAAGTAGACTAGTTTACAAAGTTACCACCCTACTCAGGCCCTACAGACCTGTAGAGAAGGTTGCCAAAAAAAACCCGTGGCAAGGCATGACAGCGTGATAGTGCATTCTATTGGCAATGGCTTTCACTCGTTTATACTAGCCAGCCAAGCATCACATGCTTGATCGCTCTTACTCGCATGTAATGAAGTGAAGAGAAGAAAACAGTGTGCCAACCACGAGAATCCTGCATCCCAACAAGCCTGACAATATTATGTGTCACATATTTGTGATCCATTATCGCTCACGTGGCTGTCCGCACGCAATGGGTGAAACATAATGTTCACTTTCACTGGTTAAGTTGTGTCCCCATTAGTGGCTGTGGATTGCAGCAACTTAGCTAGCATGCAGAGATGCATTCTGAACTGCTATTAGACTATACGGGCCATAATACTTACCTCTATACTATTTTGGGGGTTCCTTATCGTACTTGTAGTATAATATACCCCAAAACCTTATTCTAATTGTCAAGGCCCCTGCAGTACATATTTCTGCTGCTCACACTCTGGCAACGCTATCAAGGGCAGTCCTCAATCAAAGATGCGTCGAAACACCGCGCCTGAGGCATGCAGCAAGTCGATTTGGCGGACTGTGGCTCCTTAGTCCACCTGCTCTTGGATGAGGAGGCTGGTTCAGAGTTTCGGGTTTCGGGTGGGTCGCAGTTTTCGTTATGTTTTGCCCCGGTGGGGCCTGTTGTCTCACATGAGCGAATCACAGCAGATTCACAGGTTGCCGAACGGGTAAAGTTTGGTATAGTTGCTCGACAGGGATATTTGTTTGTTGTGTCGTGTGCCGTATAACTAACCGAAAAGGTGTGTAAAACAACGGCCCGACATCTTTAATACCAGCCATTTAAGCTCGTTGTTACATGCTTTGGGGGTCCAGGTACGCATATCTAAGGAGTTCCTTGCCTCCGGCCTTTGCAACCTCAAAGTCGGCAAGCATGACCATAAAGCGGATGTGTTCGGACCACCGGTGAAAAGCTCCATCCGACTTGGATGAGATGTTGCTTGTTTTGCTGATGCTTGCATTTTGAAAGTGGGAGACTCGCAGCACGCTGCCCTGATCGTGTTGCAGGCGAATATCAGGCTCCTGCGGGGTAGCTACTTGCAGAAGATGCACCGAGACGGGAAGGCTCATGCGGGCTGCAGCGAGCGCCTCTCCGCTGAAAACCACCAGCTGCAGTCACAGGTGTTTCGAAAAGTTGCATATTCACGGCAAGAATGGTAGATACCCAACAGCCCTACTCTATTTACGTGGGCCCCTAAACCTTGAACCCTAAACCCTAAACCTGGAACCCTAAACCCTAAACCTTGAACCCTAAACCCTAAACCTGGAACCCTAAACCCTAAACCTTGAACCCTAAACCCTAAACCTGGAACCCTCAACCCTAAACCCTAAACCCCTAAACCCTAAGCCCGGGGTGCAGGTCTGGAGGCGGCGCCAGGAGATGCCAGAAGAGGCTTTCGTGTCACCGGCCAGGAGATGCCAGAAGAGGCTTCCGTGTCATTGGCGGAGCTGCGCAAATGGAGGGAGGATCTCCGCTTCCGCATGCGCCTCCGGCAGCGCTTCTAAAGGGGCCATTTAACTCAGGATATGATGATATGCGAACCCTAAACCCTAAACCGTGTGGGTTTGAGTTTTTGGGGTTATGTCATTCAAAGTGTATATAGGATTATCCTATACGCTCGGTGCGCAGCTTGAGGTTCCGTCGGCTTGACTGATAGCCTCTTGCCTTCTGGGTTCCCTTCAGCATCCTTCAGCTGGCTTGGGGAAATGTCTGTTCCTTTGCTTTTGCCTCCAATGCAAAAAGCAGACATGATTACGCACATGGTTCTCTTACCATCCCTTTATAATAAAGCTGGTATACTCCAAAACCATAGGCCCCTGCAAAAGGTGCATCCGCTCTCTGAGGAAACACAGGATCATCAGCCTCTCCCATGTCTGGGAGACGATGGAGCACCCCGACCCGCTTGGTTTCCAGCTGCTGGGTTATTGTGAAGAGCTTGGGGTTTAGGGTTACCAGAGTAGGGAAGCCCCAGTATCAACAGTATACACATACATATGATAGCTTAGCTTAGGTGTATTGCACCTGTGCAAGAAATCACAAGATGGGTGGGGGCACGCAAACGCTAGCGGCTGCTGTCCCTTACATCATTTACCATATTTCCAATACCCTAGCAGTAGCCTAGGCTGGGCAAGATGATGGCCGTCGCTGACGTCGACTCCTCATGGTGGTTCGTGGACTTCATGTCACTATTCCAATTCTTTCGTGATCGACCTGAGCAGGAGAACAGTTTCCGGGCGGCATTGGCCCACATGCACGTGATGTACTCCCATGATGACACATGGACGATGGTGCTGGAAGACCTGACACCTCGGGAGCAGATGGACAATTGCAGCAGGCAAGAGGTCGACGTTTTCAGCTGCCCTGAAGACCAGCCCCAAGCACGCAAGGTTGGCCCAGTGAGACTGCAAGCGCTCCATCACAACCGACGCCCGTACCAGCAGAGAGGCTGGTGCCGTGCTGAGCTGGAGTGGTCAGGCACGCGGAGCCAGGTGCACATAATCAACTGCAGTAGCACTGTCAAGTACGGCGGCCGAGCGCCACTCTGTCCGGAGCTGTTCCAGCAGCAGGTAGAGGCAGGTTCCTTGCATTTCACGCATCGCAGCAAAGATGCAAGACCGGTAATGGAGAAGCAGGCAGAGGTGTTCCTGGCCAAGGCAAAGTCCTGCAAGTCCCTAGACTTGAAGAGCCTGCCAGTAACAGAGCTGATAGTGCTGGCCGATGCTCTCTTCTACTATGAGGTGCTGGCGCACTTGTCTCTTGCAAACTGCAACTTCACCAGTGCTTGTCTGGAACAAGCAAAAGGCCTCTCGCAGGCTTTAGAGAGGTCGGGGGTTTTCAAAAATAGGGGACCCTAATATAGTATCCTAGATTCCTAGATAGTAGGATCCTTATCCTGGGGACCCCTAAACCCTAAACCCTAAACCCCAAAATAGGTACCCCTTATTTCGGATACTCGCAGGTCTGCCAGCTTCAGTCTCTACCGCACCCTGCGCAACGTTTGGCTAGAGCAGTGCTGCATGGACTTCGCCGTCTTGGAGGCATTGTCCAACTGGCTCTCACAGCTCCAGTCTCTGGAAGGCATTGGAATCCGGCAGAGTGGTGTTCAAGATCATGGAGCCATGTGCCTGGCACGGAAGTTGAAGTCTAATTCGCTGCTGCGATACATCGACCTCAGTGGCAACTGCATCGAGGATGCTGGTGCAGAGGCGATGGCACAGCTGCTGCAGAAGAGTAGATCCATCGAGGTCTTGAATCTGGACTCCAACCGCATCGAAAATGCAGGGGCCGTGGCTTTGGCGAAGGCGGTCACGGAGAACCCGGTGGTGCAGAAGCTCCTCCTCAGCTACAATTGCATAGGAGCTAGAGGGGCATGCGCCCTGGCGGCAGCTGCCCGCGAAGGTACGTCCCTGAAGACGCTCTACCTTCATGGGAGTCCTGTGGCACAGGGATGCGACGATCTCGCTGGAGCGCTGCGTGGCAAGCCAACCTTAGATTTCGGGCAGACATCCGTGGATCAAGTTGCAGCATCTTTTGCAAACGGACTCACGTCAAATGATTCCGATGCGACCGGCATGCAGGGAACAGGATCAGAGGAGAGCCGTGTTGAAGGCATTTCTGTCGACCTGACGAGTGTGGATTCTCTGATCGACTTCCTCCTCCACCCAGCCGAGCCGATCCGCTTGGTGAAGGGGAGCTATCTGCAGAGCTTGCACTGGCAGGGGCTGACGATGCCCCGACGGCAGGATGTTCCAGAGGATGGCTTCGTTTCCAGGGAGGAGCTGCAGAAGTGGAAGGACTGGCCGGGTGGGAGTTAGGGGGATCAAGCTGAGGTGCATGATTGAGATTGCATCCATCTTTTTGTATCCCAATTCTTGAAGCTTATGCATGTAGCTTTTGTTCAGTCTCTTGTGTTGCAGATCATGTGCTCGCAGTCAGTAGTGAGCAGGGCGCCTAGTACTGTACGCATGATCACTCAACATGGGCGCCTTCGTTTCCCAAAGCCAACTCGACATGCACTAGAACATCAAGGGTCTCACGCAGCAGAGGCATTGATTTGCCTTTGGAGATGTTGTATCACGCAGTACTTGTATCGTGCGGCACTGATGCCCAACTGCAAATATAGCGACTCTAGTCATCATCTGCCTCAGAAAGAACGGCCCTTATCCGGTCTGGAGGATGAAGTCAAGTTCCGTGCAGAGCATCCCATCGTCGGCTTGAGCCACGCGTGGGAGGCCTTAGAGCATCCCGACTACGCAGGCTTCCAGCTATCGTTGATCGTGGGCTTTCGACATTCGGACCTGCCTGGCACAGAGATGTGGTGGCATTTTATAGATTACATGTCAACATTCCAAATCTGGCAAACACCGAAGCAAGACTACAGCTTCCAAGTCTATATGCAGCACGGGCACGTCATGTTCGCCCATGACGAGACTTACACTCTTGCCATTGATGAGTTGACGCCCGAGGCAAAGCATGTAGCAGCGCTAAGCAAGTCAATTAGGATTCGCCTGCCGGACGCAGACGGAGTTCAAACAGTACCGGTGCGCGACCTAGTGTTGAAGGGAATCCCCCCTTCTGAAAGGGGGTGGATGCGGGCCGAGCGGTTGTGGTCCAGGGCCAGAAGCAGCCCATCTCGCTACATGATGGTCAACGAAGCATCAGAGGGCAGGCGTGGGCTGAGTGGCAAAGCTCCACTCATGACCACGGACCCACATTCGGTGTCCAAAGAGGTTGCCGGTATGAAGTTCGCACAGCAAAAGGATGCGGACGCCGTCACCTACATCTTGCGCCAGGTCTTGGAGGACAAGGCCAACAACCTGAGATTGCTGACATTGGTAAAGCTCCCGCAAAGTGAGATCCTTGCCCTCACGGCCGCTCTGCCTCGGTATCAAGCACTTCAGCGCCTCCACGTGACAGACAGCCCGATGATGGAAGAAGACGTGAGGGAGCTTGCCGCCGCCCTGGGAGTGCTGTGCCTTCAACACAGCCTGGAGCAGGTGGTCCTTTGCCGCAACATGCAGGAGGACTCCGGTGCCTTAGCTTTAGCGCCAGCTTTGGGCTCCTGCTGCAGGCTCTACGATCTGGATCTTTCCGGGAACGGCCTGGGCAACCGCGGAGCGCAAGCAGCCACGAGCATTGTGCAGACTAGCCAATCTCTGCGCAGCCTCCGGCTGAACCAGAACCGCGTGGGTGATGCCGGAGCCCTTTCCTTGGCCCAATCGCTACAGAGCCGGGCATCTTTACTGGAGGAGCTGAGCCTGAAAGAGAACTTTCTCGGGGACGCAGGGGCCGGCCACTTCGCCGTCGCCTTGCAGTCAGCCCCGCAGCTCTCAACGCTGGACTTGGATCAGAACCGCTTCGGCAGGGCGGGCCGCGAGGCGTTGCACCTTGCGCTGGAGGGGCTGCTGCATGCTGGACGCGACATCGATTTCCGCCCAGAGGAGCTGCAGGTGGCTGGCAGACAAGCTCCGCCTCGGCCCCATCAGCACCAGCGCAGGAGACCCCTCGGTGCCGGTTTGTTGGCAGGCTCTGTTCTCTTACTCGGCTTCACGCTTTACAAAAGCAGGCTGGGGAGTTTGCTCGAACACTTCGTGCTAGACAGGCTGGGGACACAGAGTTTCGCACCGCAGCAGAGGCGTGCGACGACATGCCTTCTACTCCGGTGCCAAACGGGCTTTTCCGCAGTCCAAAGAAGAGGTATCCAGTGCTCATGCGCGGACGAACCCACACTTGTCTGCGAAACAATGTCATGAAAGGAGGGGACTTGCAAGGTAAGTTTCTCGAAGGATTGGAAAAATACTGCGGTATGTAATAATGGAAGTTTCAGCAGATGCAAAAATTGGGATTGAAGAAACCCTGCGGAGGTGATGGTGACGTGATGCTGATGATTGTGTTGATGATACTTGATGACGTCGATGATGTCGCCGGTGCTGCGCTGCTTCGGACTCTTTGCTTTGTCCATTGTTAGAAACCTATGTCGTCACCATTGTCAGTGTTGACAGCAGCATTATGATTTGCATCGGCATCCTCATCATGATTCCGTTTGTTGTGATCATGAACAGCCAGCTGTTTCGCTGTGCTTGTATGGCTGCTGGTAGCATGTTCACGGCTTGTTCGTAGGACTCCAACACGTTTTGTCTTCTTCTGCCTGTGGCCGTTCCTGGTACTCTCTTCATGCTGTTATGACTCCAGGTTATACGTTTTTGGCTCGAAAGGTGTGGTGTTATTAGTATTAAATAATACTATCAGAAGTAAAGTCAATTTTAATTTTAGTATGAGCATGAGTGTGAGTACTAGTATTGGTCTGCGTAGTATTCGTGAGTATGAGTATTAGCATCAATACTAGTGTTAGTATTATGATTATTATTATTAGTAGTAGTAGTAGCAGTAGTAGTAGTAGTAGTAGTAGTAGCAGTAGTAGTAGTAGTAGTAGTAGAAGAAGAAGAAGTTGTAGTTGTAGTTGTAGTTGTAGTTGTAGTTGTAGTTGTAGTTGTTGTTGTTGTTGTTGTTGTTGTTGTTGTTGTTGATATTATTAGTGTTGGTGTTGGTATCAGTATTAGTATTGGTATGAGTATGAGTATTTGTATTTGCATTAGTATTATTTTTAGTAGTATTTATATGAGGGCTGTTACTAGTATTCGTGTTTTACACAAGATGCTATGTGACTGCCCACGTTTGTCAACACCACATCTAGTACGCTGTTAACCCTAGCTTGTATCATGTCACGAGTAGCTATCGCAACCACTGACGGTCGATCTTGCCAGCATTTGATCATCCACATCGTCATAGCAGTTTGTTGCCCGCGGTTAGCATTGCCTCACTCGTGTACTGCTATATCATGAATGTTTTATCGTAGTTCCTGTCGTGCGACTGCAAAAACATGAAACGCATCAGCATCTGTCAGCAGCTGTTTGGGTCATTTGTGTGCACCAGTCCTCAGGCTTCCTGCACGCTGTCCCATGGCATCCATCACCCAGTGGCCGTACGGGTACTGCTTGCGCATGCCCGCGGCCCCAGGGGTGGTCCGTCAATATCCCCAGCTTTGGCCGTCACAAGCTGTCTTGGTCCAGCAAAGGCTCCGCTATGAAGCTCAGGAGTTCGTCCCGTCAAAGCCCACGACCAACCAGGGCAACCCCGTGTTCATGTTTGCGAGCCCTTCTGCATCTGTCGGAGGAGGCTGCAGCACGAAGTCGACGGAGGACGGCGGTGACTCCTGCAAAGAGGGTGGCGCTGTGCAGCCGGAGGCAAGTCAGCCGGTAGGTGAAGATGGCGACGTTCATTTTGGGGTGCAGGCGATGCAGCAGAAGAAATCAGGGAAACGACTTATCAATGCTCGGCTCCCCTTGAAAAGGCAAGGTGCCAAGCAGCAGGAGGTTTCTTGTCTCCCAGCTGAGGAATGGGGCTTGCGGGCATTGGATGCTGTTGAGGTGACAGTCCAGTCCAGATGCCTCGAGGCCGAGATTACGCGTACCTTGCAGGCGCCGCGCGAAAATCGGAAGACCACACGGAAAAACATTAACCGACGGCAACCGAAGGCCTAGAAGTAGGAGCAACAAGTTACAAAAGCAAGTAGTGAAGGCAGCAGGAAGAGCAATAATAGAAATGCGGGTAATCGTAGGTAGCCGTCACCGTCGCCGTGGTTGGTTTTTCGCCGTCGTATGAACAGCAAGTGCAGCAGCAGGAACACAAGCCACAACAGCTATGATTCCAAACATAAGGACCGTTTAGGGCTTGGGGCTTTAGGGCTTTAGGGTTTTAGGGTCTAGGGCCTTTAAGGAGCAGCAGTAACAAGCCTTCAGGCCCTGTCCTCTTTGTTGGTTCCTTTATGGAATCCTCAAGGGAGGGGGTTCTAAGGGGGGGGGGGTATATAACCCAGTAATCCCCAAGTCTCCCAAGTTCTCCCTTAGGTTCCCTAAAGCTCCCTAGGACCCTCCCCGCTTGAGCCACCTTTTCTTAAGGATCCTATAATTCCTGGTTCTTGAACCGCTCGCCCGTGCAGGCAGACGGTGCCGGTGATCCGCCAGCACCAGAGCCCCTCAGTGGAGAGCCTGAGTTCATCCCCGCAACTCCCTGTGCAGTAGCTCAAGCCACTGGGTGGCGGCTGCGGACGCGCTCCGATGAATCAGGTGTAGAGGTTGAGAGGATGTTGCAGCTTGATCCAACAGCCATGGATCTGGTATCAGGGGATCGGTCGTGCTGCCCAGCAAGTGAAGCTGCAGAGGCAGAGCCCAACACTTATGGCATCATTGAATTCAAAAACTCCCACATGCACGATGAAAAGAAGCACGATCCTGCCATCGCCCGAAGCAGCCAGGTCAGCATTGAAGAGCAGCAGGTGGCTGATGTTGACATCTGGGCTTCTCCTGCTTTCACCGATGTCGCACACGATGGTTCAGAGGACTCGGTTGCACTGCAGTCTAGTCCCACAACATCTCCGGCAGCAAGTTCAGTGCTTGGAGCACCGTCTCTGTATGTGCAGCCAGATGACACCCTCCCTTTCCTGGTTGAGCCTGGTGTCGAGTACGATCGAGGCTGGGTCAAATACAAGGATCCAGAAAGCGGAGAAATCTGGTTCCACAACGAACTCACGGATGACTACTTCTTTGCTCAGTACAGCCGTCAGTGGGGCTGGCTGCCCTACGAAAGCAAAATTGGGCAGCGGTGGTGGTGGCACGACAAACGCAAAAGCTTCTTCTTCGAAGGCCTGAAGTAGTTGAGGGGAACTGTGCAAGGCCTTTGCAACATGAGCAGCAGCAAGCCGATGCTATGTGAGAGAGAATGTGCGAAGTTTTTGGATGATCGACCCACATGCATTGCGTGCCGGTGGTCGTCACAGAAGCGGCAGAGCCTGTGTCAGTTTGCAAAGATTAGGCACTGGAAATAAAAGCATGCATGGACAAAAAAGGCAGCCTGCCCCTGATCCAGTCTCGAAGGATTCATCTGAGTTGAGCCCTGCACTTGCCGTGGTAATTTCGGCTCACTAGGGCGGGCACAGGTAGAGGCCATGCTGGAAAATCAGGCCAGCGCGAGGGGTTCCTTTATAAGGGTTCCTTTAAGGGTTCTAGGGGTGCCGTTAACGGGTTCCTCTAAAGGTTCTTTAGGGTTCAGGGTTTAGGGGTTCCTTTAATGTTTGTCTTTTGCCATGTATCCTGGCAGCAAGCTGCCGGATCATTTCGGATCCCTAGCGCATGGGCTGTAACCCCGAAGCTTTAGACTCTAAAAGCTTTAAGCCCTTATCCCCAAAAACCCTAAACCCTAAACAGCTCTTATCCCCAAAAACCCTAAACCCTAAACAGCCCGTATCCCCAAAAACGCTAAGACCAAAAAGCTTCAAACAGACCAAAAAAACCATAACGCCGCAGGCCTGGGATCGGCTCAGTGCGACAGGCTCCGGTGTCAAGGTTTGGGGTGTGGGGGGTTACCTTTAAGGGTTCCTGTAAGGGCCAAGGGTGGGGTTTGTGGGTTGAGGGGCTTAAGGGTTAGTATAGGGCCTTTTAATAATTGGAATAGGGTTTTGGGGCCCATTATACGACTATAATTATGATAAGGAACCTGATAAGGAACCCCCAAAATGATATAGGTGATTATTGAAGCTCCTTTATTAGTCTTTAGGACTTGAGGGTTTGGCCCTAAACCCTAAACCCTAGGGTTTGGCGGCGTGATCGTGCTTTCTTGACTTCTTCTTACGGGACGGCTACGGAGTCTTGGGGTGCCTTTCAGGGATACAAGAAAGGGCTCCTGTAAGGGTACTGTAAGATACTACAAGATACTGCAAAGATACTTTGGAGTTAGGGCTTAGGGCATTGAGGGTTCTGGGCTTTCCAAGAAGAACCACACATACTTTTCATAGAAGTTAGAACTGACAAAAACCACGTGGCAAGAGGCATCCTCAGCTAGGAAGCTAGACTGCAATAAAACGTTAAGTTTAGGGCTTAGGGTTTAAATCTTACAACCTAAATCCCAAAAACTGAATTCTGAACCCTAAACCCCTAAACCCTAAACCCTAGGCCCGAAGCCTCTGAACCCTGAACCATGCAGCTGCAACGGCGTGCGCAAGATTTGGCTCTTAGCGCTCATCAGGGCGACTCAGGGTTTAGGGTTTAGGGTTTAGGGTTTAGGATTTAGGGTTTAGGGTTTAGGGTTTAGGGTTTAGGGTTTAGGGTTTAGGGTCGGTCAGTTGACTCCTTTCGCAGTGTCCGTGCCGATCGGCGGATCCACCATGGCGATCCCACGCGAAGTGCAGGTTGCTATAGAAGCGTAATGTAGGGGCCTTGATAATTACTACTATTTTGGGGGCTCCGTATTCTAATTATAGTATGATGGGCCCCAGAACCCTATTCCAATTATTAAGGCCCCTACAGCAGGTTTTAGAGTTGAGGGGTTAGGGCTTTTGGTGGCTGGGGAGGGTAAAGGCTACAGAGCTCTAGATGAACGGACCGGTGCCTGAGTGAGCCGTTTGAGACGTGCAAGATGTAGGCTATTCAATACTTGGAAGGTCGGAGGACTTAGTAAGTAGATATTACGTAGACTTGTAAGTACCCTAAACGGGATCCTATTAGGGGTTATTGCACTTGAAAATCTATAAAACAGCTAGTTACTAAGTCCCCCGACCCTCCAAGTACAGGCTTTGGGGATTGAGTTGTCATGAGCTTTTCGTGACCACGGCTTTATACTTGAGGAGAAGGTGATAGCCTCAGGCATCCTGTAAATTACAGTTTGGCTGAGATGCGAAACCCAATACTTGAGCCGCAAAGCTAAACCTCAAGAGCCCTACCCCCTGCAAGCAGGGCATTTTGGCCGTCCTTGTCTGCGGCTGCTTCAGCACCTTGAACTTGATTCTCTCCAAGTTGCTGCAGGCTGGGACAACTTGGAGGACTGACTTAGTACCTAGATATTTTATAGACTTATAAGTACCATAACCCCACTTGGGATCCCTTTGAGGGTACTTACAAGTCTACTTAATATCTACTTACTAAGTCCCCCGACCCTCCAAGAAAGTCAAGCCAGGTCCTGAATGGAGGGTTGTGGACTAAATACGGTGGCCTGGCTTGTTAGAAAAAGTATCCCCTTGCAGTCACGGTATCCTAACAGTACAATAAGCCCCAAAGCCCTGTCGTAGTCATTAAGGGCCCCTGTGCCGCCACTATCTCTCTCTCTCTCTCTCACTCTCTCTCTCTCTCTCTCTCTCTCTCTCTCTGTGTCTGTTTTTCACGCTGCTCGAGCCCCTGTCCAAAACGCATACAACTGACGTCGACTGGCAAGCAGCATGTAGATGGGATGGGATGCCAGCACTACGCCGAGGGGCTGTTGGAGATGGTTGGTTTTTGGCAAACGCAGCGCAACTCTACACCCAAATTGAAGACTCTGCGAATGTTGGAAGCGTCTGGCCTACGGGAACCTCGCAAAACTCCAAATCCGCCACTTCCTTGGGTGATTTGCAGGGCCGGCAGTGGCCCTACTTCTTCTTCGCTGGCCTGTGCTCGCTTCTGATCGTCTTGGGTCTTCAGGTCCTGTCGCTTTGGATCGCATTCAGCCTTGTGACTGCATGCTGGATTCGGTTACCCACACTTGATGCCGGGGTCTGAGTGGGTAGTAGAAATATCCACTTACATTCCGTGCCTAGGAATGCTGTACTGTACCCCCCAAACCCTACTCTCTACAAGAACTATGCTGGTGTGACCGTCACGAAAGCATTGTCAGGTGTCTGGGTTGGTTTCCACTTTGAAAATGTATGGCCTGTCTCGGATAGAGTTCATGATGAATCCTGGCATTGCATGAGTAGCCCGACTTTCTTAGCCCACCCGTCGATGTACGGTTGCGTCCCGCTGCAAAGCGAGATCATGCCCAAAGTTGCTTCCTTTAGTGCCCTGCTCAGACAGGCTGGGCAATACTCCTTGAATAATCTTCGGCCCCTGTAGTGAAGTCGTGCAAAATCCTGCGTCTGCCATTGCTATTGATATCCCTGTATACTGCTTTCAGAAGTAGACGACAACATACCTCAACCGTGTTCTTGCAGCATGAGTGCACATTCAGGATGGTGGCACGACAAGGCCTTGCTGCATATCACTGCGAGAGGAAGGAGATCAAGTGGGTCCTTTTTCGAGGACACGGTTGAGGTTGCAGTTTCAACCTTTACGGAAGTTTGAATGAACTGGTAATATAGCATGTGAGCATACGAATTTTTCTCTGTTATATGTTAAAGCTGACTCTGATATGCCCGACTTCAATGCTGCATAGTAGCGCGTGTAGATGAATAGTCGACTAGCAACAATGTGTACACATTGCAGCCACCTCAGGGGGGCATCGATGATGCCCGATAGCATCTGGAAACACTTGCTCATGGCCAGCAAAGAAGACGACATGTCTCTACGCATTTCACATTCACACATGTATGAATATACAAGCATACATGAGTGTGTATGTAGGTAGGTACGTAGGTAGGTAGGCGATCGGTGCCATCATCAACGTCGTCATCACCAACATCACAAGCATCATCGTTATGATCGTCACCGTCATTTTGCACAATGTACACTACCACCCGGGGACTACAAGTGCTAGTTTTGAAGTGATACATGTCATCTCCTACTTGTGTTTCTTTCCTACCTCTGGCCGCGAAGTGGGCAGATTGACTGTACATACATCTGTCTCTCTCTTCTCTCTCTATATATATATATAGAGAGAGAGAGAGAGAGACCTGCCTGCCTGCCTGCCTGCCTGCCTGCCTGCCTGCCTACCTACCTACCTACCTACCTACCTACCTACCTACCTACATGATGACAGTGGTGATGGCGATGAGGATGGTAATGATGATCTGGATGATGACGGCGGATGATGGATGTTGATGGCGGTGCTGGTGGTAGTGGTGGTGGTGGTGGTGGTGGTGGTAGTGCTCGAGCACTCAATCCAGAGCAGCAACAAGCATGCTACCATGCTACCAATAGCCAACCTGTGTTCAGGGCGTAACTGAGTAAAAGTGATTTTGCTGGCAGTCAGAAAGTGCACTAAGAAACAATGTAATTTGTAAACGAATGACAAACCATGGGACGATACTCACTAAGCGATAAAGAAGCAGCAGCAGCAGCAGCAGCAGCAGCAGCAGCAGCAGCAGCACGTTCACCAGTGCGTGGAGCGGACACGAGTACCAGTACCAGTACTGGACTACTACTAAGAATATGAGTACCAATACTAGTACTAATACCAGCGATAGTAACCCTGGTATTCCCAGGAACACTGAGTCTAATTCTGATACCAATTTGGATGACGACGACGATGTTGACGAGGGCGTGCGATGACAATTATTAGGAGGACGACCACCACCAACGCCACAACTACAACCACCACAAGCAACACAGAGGACTCTTCGGCTGCGGCAACAACGTTCTGAGTGTGTGTGCAGCTTTGGCGGGCGCGCCAATGGCAACACCGGCCTGTACCACCGAATGAGGATTGAAATTACGGACTCCCTGTTGGGCTCTTAGATTAAGTGATCCTTGTATGGTTGGGGTCTACCTTAAAGAACTTACTGTGCTTTACTATTGGCTGAAACTCGCGTTTGTGGTTTTGGGTCTCCACCCAATTCGTTCGATGTAGGACCTTGCGAGCTGTTTGTGCTTTTCGATAAGCACGATGTGCTTGAGAGAAGGCTTCCCTAACACCTGAGATTCTGAGATGGCAGGGCAGCATTGGTGTGCTGTCAAGTGCTGCTAAGCTGCA